AACTACATTTGCCTCAGATTAAAAATTAATAACGCGACTTAGCGCACCTCATTAAGAATATATTCAGATTTTGAATTATTGGCCAAGCGGATATCGTAAATGTGATTGATCATTTGACGCATATACACGGGAGCTACGCCTAGTACTCTTCTGCCCGCCATAAACGGTAGACTTCGGTCAGGCAGCGCGCACAGTCGGTAGTTGATGATGGCCAAATGAAGTCGATTTGAATATAGTTAACAATGGATGTAATGCTGCTGACAAACCAGCTAACAGCAACAGACATATCTGTGAAAATCGTGCAATCACCCTGTGCATTGCACGTGCAAGCTATGTAGCTACTACGCTAGAATGTTGCAAGATCGCTACTCATAGCTTATGAGTCATAAAAGAGAGTAGATTCTTCGTAAGTATTCACGGTTCTGACGTATTCACTGTGCACTGGAAGTATACTCTCAGATCCAAGCTCTGCGTTATCTACAACCTGTAGACTTGAAGTACACTTGTAGACTATAAGTCGGGTTCTAAATACGAATTGTTGAACTTGCATTCATACTTTGACATGTGGAGAGATGATCATCAGCCAAAGCTTGCAGTTTACAGACGTACGAGATAGGATGATCAATTCCATTGGGAATGTAGGCCGTAGAAATTCTATTTACTCGATGATGGTAGAAGTGATTGATCCCACTGCGGCCAGTAGAACCACTTCTAATCGATCGGAACCGGCGGCTATCAGCCATTGGTCACTAGGCAAAGGTCGCAGTGAATAGTACCAAATTGATAGTATTCTGGGGCAGATATGCCATTCCGCGGCTGATATGCATTGCCCGTTAGATCATGATAATGATTCAATCATTACCAGGTAATCCAAGTTGATCACTCCAGAGATGAGAGTTATGATAGCTCTACTGATGAATCACGATGGTACATTCAATGTACCACATTACTAATGTGACATTAACTGTATGAGTGTTTAGTTAGTTGGCATAGCGGCCCCGAGGAGTCGAGTATCATCCATTGGTATTATCAACTTTTGGTAATATCAACTTTTGGTATATCAACAGTTGATATTATCCCTACGTACAATCACAAAACGTGCTATCGCGGTCGATCAAGGTACCAAGTTGGCATCGCCAACGAGGGGTAGACTCACTTCATCGATCCCAAGCGTTTCTGCGGATCTCGATAATTCGATCATTTTCTCCATGTGACTCAAGTTGAGTCACTCAACAATTCGTTATGACAACAACTATGAATGGTGTTAGTCTTGTTATCACTAATAACTGATGGCGATTTGGTATCTTCATTCTTTTATGATGGAAGTTCTGTAGAGTCTCGCCTAGTTCTGATGCGGAATGGTCAGGCCAACTCTGTATATTCGCAGAGAGCAGAGGATCCTCTGCTAATGCATATATACAGTAAGAACAGAGGCATGTCCCACTCAGCCATCGATGCTGTGTGATTAACTCGCTTCCTAGCAACAGGAAGTGTTACTCGTCGCTCGCATTCGCGAATAGCTGATCAAGCTTGGGCGGCGATATGATGATATGATCGACATCGAAGTATCTTTGTGTCCCATGTAGATAGGTTGCGTAGTACAAGCGTTTTCTTTGGGAAGCCGCGTAAGATGCACATAGAAGCGAGAAGATGGGGAGCATGAGGTGTTACTATAGTTCGAGAGTCTCACATATACTTCTACGCTGATAGTCAGGTAGGGCTGAGCGGATAGCTTCTACGGAGCGGAAGTGATGAAAGTAAGAAGCCTGGCAAGCTCGATAGAATAGTCTCACCTTTGCCCTGAGTGGGGTATCCTGAACGGAGTATCTTAGATGAATCATCTAAGGTAATATTCGCGTACAACTTGGTTGAATCAAGCTCATCGTCTTGTGACAATTTCACAACCAATATGATGGTGAACTCGTTTGGTCGAACCAAACACGGTTACCAAGTTCGAAAGGGCTGAGGAATCTGTTGTCGGAGGATACGGGAATTCTGTCGTACCCTCGGATACATTGCTCTCTGAGAGAGTTCACAATAGCTCCGGAGTAGATTCCGAAATTTCTAGGAGATCACAGTTCACCGCAAAAGTTGTCTTCCCGAGAGTGAGCATTGGCCAGAGGGGCTACGCCTTATTCGGGAACTCTAACATGCGCCAGGGATGAAGTTAATATCGTGATAATTCCACTACCAATTTGGTCATGAACTCTTTCGGTTGCCACCCAATGGTCGAACAAAACACGGTTACCAAGTTCGACAGAGGACTGGAATCTGATATTACTGAAGAGTTAGATCAACTGTCTGAACGATCTCAAAAGACGACCGGGAAGGAAAAGTGATACTTATTAATGCCTAAGGTAAATACTTCGAAGCAACGGAAAAGACATATATTGGTCGTAACAATTTCGGCCAGATGCTCAGCAGAGAGATCCTGGATACAGGCAACGAGACATGAACTGGGTACCCTAAGTGAGCTCGCAATTGTGTCGCTCAAACGTCAGGTAGCTGGTTGGTACAGGTGATACTGGTAGTGATTGTCTAGTTCGCCGATGCGACCGTGCGCTCACGACGGTCTAAGAGCTTCTTGGCGTTCCTTACACCCTTGAGTGATAATAAGCTTGAGGATGGAGGGACGACCGGAGTAGTCTACCGAGAGGACCGGGAGTCATTCTCAGCGACACAACATGAGGCTGAGCGGAATGCTGCCCACCTTTTTGACTCCTCTAGGAGATTCAACTCCATCACTCCAAGAGCGAACGTTGAATATGCTTTCACTGGGTCTGACATACTAACAATTCGATGAGGACAAGACGGAGATCTAGTATTCACCTTGAACTAATTCCATGTCCAGGGGCATTCTCCGCAATGTTTGAAAGGTCTAGGTCAGTGCGAACCATAGGTTTAGGCGGCTCATTTGAAGACATCGATTGAATGATAGACTGCTGAGCATCAAATGGATGAGCGAACCACAAGAGGTGGATGAGACTAGGATCGAGTAGTGGCAAGTCGAGCTGGACCATGGCTGCCTGAGACGGGCAAATCCAACTGCATTAAGACACTGTACAGTGTGATCATAGGAAGCACTCAGCAATTCAATGTTGCCTATGTTATCGGGATCGGTTCACTTCATTGTGAAATTGAAGCAAGATAATCCCGTCTGGTAAAGTCGATAATATGATCACCATTGGTAATGCTACTGATACGAATCCTGACACTATCGATAATATATTCTCCCAATACCATGACGATACCAGCACCCATACCATTCTTCTATCGCACGAGATTCCCCATGACGACTCACCTCGGACAGAATCTTCTTGCACACCTCATCAGCTTTTTGCATAACCATTGCTGAGTCCTCATCGACGTGCTTGTGGCTTCCGATTGACGGCAGACTTGAGCGACGGGCACTGCTCTTACCGCATCGTGCGGAGCAGTTCCCAAGAGAAATCAATTCAACCACTGTTGGAAAGGATGATTGATCAAACGTCTCCGAAAGACTCCTGAGTAAGTAATAATTCCACTAGGCCATTAAGCCACTTCTACTCACCTGAGCTTCTGCCTATCATCTCGTCTGATATGATACCACTCTCCTGATCGGGTCTTGAAAGTGTACGAAGGGAGGAGTATCCAACCATTATCGGCGATCCACAGAATAGCATCGGCGACGAGGTCCACTTCTTCCTGGGTCATTGTGAAGTGCACTCCAATTCGAACGAATCCAGGCTTGAAAATCTCGGATAATGTGCAGCCTTGAACATATTCAGAGCATTGGAGGAGAATGCAAATAACCTACCGACAGCTTCTTCGAACTTGGTGGCGTTTCCAGCACTGAGACCGAGAATGGTTTCCGCATACGGTCCAGCACAAGCGCAGCCACCCCTAGCTTGAATGCCAAACAAATCGTTTAGGACGGCCGCAACAAAGTTATAATGGAGGTATCTCAAGGATACAACTCCCAACTATTGCTTTTCATCGGTGATATCTTACAGGCCGTGTCCTGTGGAAGGATTGCTGGGATTATACAAGATATTGAAGGATAAAATACCAGCACAGTGAGAACGATCCTAAGACGATCGTCGAAAGCGGTAGTACGAGTATAGCTTGCCTTGGGCCCGAGTATATGAATCTTGCTGTGGGTCTGAAGCCTTTTATATAAATGATCGGCCATTTTATGCTCAGCAGCAGCAATCTTCTCGATACCGATCGTCCTATGAAGATGGTAGACGATACCTGCTCTGATGCATCCGAGGATGTCGGGGGTACCTCAAGAAATATCGAGTGAAGAGTGAGCTAGGTAGAATATAGCTCACCAGCTTCCTCGCGCTCTTCGAAGTTATCAAGATACCGATGACCTCTCTGACTCACGTATAGAACGACGCCTCCGCCGCAGACAGCCGGCACGGCGTTAGTCTGTCGTTTCTTCTTACACAACAAGAGACCGCTGCTACCGGGACACCGATCAGCTTATGAGAGATACGAATGCGAAATCGATATAACCGTTAGGTGCGTAGAAGGTTCATATCGACCTATAACAGCATAATCATGGAAGCTCGTT